CAATATGACATAGGGATTGGGAACTACCGGATGGATAGTTATAGTAGCTAGATTTACAGGCCTCAAATCCTGAACAGGGCGAAACCGACCATCCCCTTTTGGAATTGGCAATATGGGGGTATTCCAGGGCGATTCAGTAGGTACCAGGATATGATGTTCTAAATATAAGTCAATAATATCCTGGATAGCTTGCATAATGTGGCGAGGGTATGCCCTTTGTCGAATTCTCACAGGAACTTTCAGAGGCACTTCCTCAATTAGAATGGGTGGATGGTGTGCTGCAAAACCAGGGGGGTTATCTTCCGCCCACAAATAGGGAACCCTAAACTGCCTCCAGACTTCCTTATCAGCGCACCCAAATTCCCTCGCTACCATAAGCCTCCAGGATTCTTCCAAAGGTACCGACAAGGTTACTTTTCCGTACCCCAGGTTCATGGAACCATCCTCATTAAAGGATAATTGTGCCCTCATTTTACAGAGCAGGTCCCTTCCTAATAATGGGACTGGGCAGTCAGGCATGTAAACAAACTGGTGTGTTATAGCCTGCCCTTTTAAGGTGCATTCGAGGGGCTCCAGAAAGGGACGTTGTAAAGTTGTCCCTGTCGCTCCCTGAATATTAATAGTTTCACGGGATGCCTGCGCTAAGGGTTGGGTTAAAACTGATCGGGTAGCTCCAGTATCCACTAAGAATGTAACTGGCTTGCCTCCCACATTCAATCTGACCATGGGTTCAGGGAGGCTGACTGAACCCGGTCGGCCTCAGTCCCATTCTTCTGCCTGGGCCAAGCCCACCAGAGGGGGTCCGCCCAAACCCCGTCTGGTTTCTGTCTGTCCTCTACCTCTCTGGGTCAACCTTCTCTGACCATCTTCCACCACGAAACTGAGGCTTCGTGGGGGTCCTCCCCTGTTTCTGGGTAGTTCACGTTCGGGACACTCACCTTTCCAATGCCCATATTTCTTACATAAGGCACATTGGTTATGGCCAAGTTCCCATCTTCCCCCTTTCTCCCGACTATTGCCCCGGCCCCTCTGTGAGCCGGACCCCGCACCACGTGGGTTTGTTCGTCCTCGTGGTGCCCACATCATGGCTGCTGCCATTAGTTCAGCCTTTTGTTGCATCTTCTGATCTTTTTTCCTATCCTCCTCTTTATCTCTATTTGCAAAGACTTTTCGAGCTACCTCCATTAATTCACTTATAGGCTTTCCCAGGGCTCCCTCCAGTCGTTGTAGCTTTCGCCTTATGTCCGGAGCACTCTGGGAAATGAACGCCATAGTTAACATCCTGGCGTTCTCAGGGATTGTGGGATCTATGGGGGTATACATACGGTAGGAGTCAATAAGACGGGTATAAAATGCTTCCGGAGTTTCAGTGGGTTCTTGCAACACCAGGGAAGGTTTTGACATATTTATAACAGGCTTCCCCGCAAGGCGTATTGCTCGCACCACTAAAGCTTGATAATCCCTCAGTCTATCCTTCCCATCATCCCGGTACATATCCCACTCTGGGTTACTCGAGGGGTATTTTTCTCTCAAAAGATCCTCCATTGAGTGATATAACCGCACATCAGGTTTTAATATCTCAGTCACTGCATTCTTAATCTTCTCCCTTTCCTCCGGGCTAAAAAGTGTCCCCAATAACTGTTGAATATCTAGCCAGTTGGGGTTATGTGCATCCATTATAGTCTTAACTAGATCTGCCACCTCTGTGGGCTTTTCACTAAATGGGCCATAGTGAAGTTTCCAATTCAACAGATCTGAAGAAGTGAACGGTACATGTTGGAATAAAGACAGAGTGACTGATTCAGATGGATCCTTTGGATTGATTGCCAACTGATCCACTTGCCTCAAGGGTGCTGTCAGGGAAGCCTGTTCTGTTTTTGCCCGAGTTCTGGCTGCGACCGGTTCAGTCATAGCAGATGTACTCGGCGCTGAAGTGGATGGGGTAGGGTCCACGGGCCTTTCCTTTGGGGTGGATGTTGAAGGCAATGATCTATCCACCTGGACCGATCTATCCATTCCCTCTGACCTTGGGGGACTTTTTAGATATGGAGATAGTCGATCTAATCGTGCCATAAAGTCTGCCACCCCTCCCGATTCCTCCCCCTCCGACCCCTCTTCAAAACCTCCCGGTGGTACATAAGGGGGGGGGGGGTTTGGAACTTCCTCGGGACAACTAGGCAGCACTTGTACAGATCTCTGTATTTTTTTAAGAGTAACATGTCGTGATAGCAAGGCTTTACACCGCTGCATTTTAAGTCGTCGTAGCCAAGGGGGTGGATGATTCAATAAATCCAGCCACACATCTATATATGGACCCTGATCTGGGTAGCCTAACATTGGGTGGAAGACCCTACGATGTACCTGCACAGTAGTAGGAATGTCAAGTGTACCCACCGGGGGCCACCCAATCCCCAGGTTGGGCCATTCACTTTCACAAAATTTTCGCAATTTCTGTCTATCCCATTTATGCCCATAATCCTGAGACTGGTAAGCCTCCCTAAAATGTCTCATCATAATCTCCAGAGGGGTTACCTCTTTACTTTGTCTACCACCCATAATCCTCCCACATAAACAGACAAGAGAGAGAGGAGAGGGAGTTGAAGAAGAGGGTAAGGGGTCCCACTTTCTTCAAACACAGCAGGGGATTTTTCACATAGACACCCACTCACACACGCCCGACCCAGGGAGCCGGATGTTCACGGTCTCCGATGGGAACTGCGGACGCCACTCGCTTTCTACTGACCCACGGTGCTGGAGACTCACAGTCACCAATGGGAACTGCAGTAGGCTCTCTCTCTTTTCCAATCAGACTTGACAAGTCCACCCACTTTATCTGTTAAGAGAGGGTGATCAGTCCTCTCCTCCGTCCCTGCTTACAGGGAGGGATTATATTTCCCATCCAATACTTGCCTGCAGGCGTCTTCTCCTTTTTTATTCCTCTTTCACTGCTGGCCAGCCCCAGTCCTGTTCTTCTCACCTCTCACCAGTGGTTCGTGGGTTCGTCAATCGCCGACAGCAGCAGTCAGCCGTCTGGGGAAGTCCCTCGGATTCAAAGGGTTCCGATGGCGCCTGGGATATTCCCTCCAACTCACCGATCCACTGACTGTCGGGATGGACCACCCAGAGGGCCTCAGGGCCCCTCCAGTCCCGGCGGAGTCGCCAGAAAATGTTGCAGCAGTCTCGGTTTCAACACAGAACAAGAGACCACGAGAGGTGGAAGAATTCAGGTTTATTTGCGCAAAGCGTTCAGAGCATTAACATGACAAATTCTGAACCCCCATTACATGCTGGGGTTAGTTCTTTTATACTTTATGATGATTTCAGCCCAAGCCTGGGCGTTCACCTATAACCTATTTACCAAATATAGATTTTATGCTTACAAAATACCTAAAAACATATTTTGTCCTGGGAACAAAACATAGTGAAAGAGGATGTGGTAAAGAAGACAAGATGTTTGTAAGTATATTCTATCTTTTGCCATTATCTTACACTTGCGAAAAATGCTTCCATGACCTTCCCTTAATTGCAGCTTCCTTGTACTCAACTTTAAATACATTGTTACTTCCTCTAAATAGATTTCCTAATTCTTTAGCGTAACACAGACAGAGTTGCCCTCTGTCCCTATGACCTATAGATCAGAGAGTTATAATATGCTCAGGAGCTAGCTAACTTATATAAAATATATTCCTTCTCTGGTCCTTCTTCAACTAAGCCTGTTTAAAGAAGCAGGTCTGATGATAATAATGAAGATGTAGTGTTAGGTTGGCCATGGTTTGAGAATGACCACCAGAAGATCTAATTAAACCTTATCTGTATCGTTCTGTTAAATAATTCTAACATCACCATCATAAAGGTCTCGAGTTATAACAGTGTATATTTACCAATGGATGAACTTACTAGTGCATCCGCATGTAAAGAAAAGAGAGACATATGCCATTCACCTCAAGGAAGACAACCCTGAATTGGATGTTGAGCTATCCCAACCACAAGATAAAAACAGACAGAAAAAAAAATAGATATACAAAAATCCTCACCTGAACTACTATGGCTTACCAATTCTGGCCTAAATAAATTCCGGAGAATCTTTTCATCTAACAAATGCATGACTCAATATAGTTTCCAAAAAAGGAAAAATCACAAAAATGAATCAGCATTAACTGAATAAATATTGATTTAAATTAAAAAGTTAATTAATCCTTAATCCGCATCTATCAAATATTCCTTCTCTCTCACAAACACAAAACCCATCCTACACATATAAAAAAAGATACACACCTACATTCCCTTCCTTTGTTTCGCTAGAAACAGCAATGAAAAGGAGAAACAACCTGGGGGTGGAAGTGGGAGAAGATGAATGCAAGAAAAATAAAACTAAATGGAGAGCGAGAAGAAAAAAAAAAGGAGAAGTCTTGTTCAGGTGTTCTAAAAAAGGGTTAATGTTCATTAGATAAGGAGCCCCTTCCAGGCTATTCTTTCATTAAACTGATCTTCATATCTGGGCCTTTCAGCAGAAATGTCTACAGCAAGGGTGTCAAACTTGATTTCATTGAGGGCCCCATCAGGGTTGTGTTTGACCTCGGGAGGCAGGGGGGAATGTTGTGGCCGGCTCAATGTCACTCATTGAGGCTCCGTTTTTGGCCACAAGAGCCCTCCCTGGCTCCATTTTTGCTGGCAGAGGCACTGCAGGCCCATTCTTTGCTGTTTCCAGGGCATACCCGCGGACTAGATCTAAGCAGCCCACAGGACAGATCCACCCCCTGGGCCTTGAGTTTGACACCCCTGGTCTACAGACATTTGCTCAGTTGCCCATCTATTTTTCAGTACTTTCAATTTCCACTCTATATCTTAGCAAATGTATGAAACAGGTCTGTGGGTGCACATGGGCAGGATAATCTAGTGAAAATCTCTCATTATGTTATTTAACTGTATGGTTTTGGTGAATGTGTTTGAATAAAACATACTAAATTTTCACAAAAATGTGATACAAGAGAAATACTTACTGGAATGTGAATGGCTTTGCAAAAAACAAAAAAGAAAGGACAATTGTCATTGCTTTTCTTCCAGTTGTAACTGAAGGAAAGAAAAACCACAGAAGGACATTATACATTCATTCCAATCCAACTAAAATGCAACTTCTTAAAGAAACACTGTAGAAAATATAAATATCAAGCTTCTTCAATCTTGTATTGCTTGATTTCAATTGCCATAAGCTCTAACCAGTCTGTCCAACAAACATTCTGACTGAAAATTGCTCTAATGTTCAAATTTGATACAGTTAGAAGGTACTAGATTAAGGAATGGGAATGTAAAGTAATTAAAAATATTGAGAGACAGTGTCTTGAAAATAAGTGATTATAACTGGTTATTAAAGTGACAGCTTTCATCTCAGAATGAAACTTATTTATGGTGACAAGCAATTTCATTAATTGGTAGGTCATTAAGGCTATCTAACGCATGCTGTAGTATACTAGCTGGTTATTAACTTGTAGAAACCTCTTTAAGCAATAGAATAGTCAAATATCACAGGGCATCTATAGTGGAATTCCCCTGCAGGCACAATATCAGCAAATTGCTAAGACAGCTTGTCAGTTGTCTGATTCAATACAAGATTTTGTAGTTGTAGGACCTCTTATCAACTTTCACCACTTTGTGGTCTTATTCTGTCACAATGTCTTCCTATGAAATGCTACAGAACAGTAACAGAACTTGCTGGCCCCACCCCAAATGACTTGTGGCAATTTTAAGATTGAAAAATGGAGAAACAAAGAGACAAAAGTGATTTGTCCCAGGTCATCCAGCTGCTGGTGCCAGAACAGAAACTGGAATATAGGCGATAACTATGAATGATAAAGTTGTTGATTATTCAATATTTTTAATGATCTGGAGAGACAATGGCTTAATTACATTCATCTACTGGCAAATCTGGTTGATAACTGGGCAGCCTTATTTTGGGTACCATTTCAGTGGCCGTTACCACTTAACTTACCAGTCAAGCTGAGATTTGTAGTTTGCAGCTATTGAGACAATCTATACTAGGCGTGTAAAACTGGATTTCTTTGAGGGCTGGATTAGCATTGTATTTCTCCTTCGTGGGCTGGCCAGGGGGGGGGGGGGAGATGGGACAGATGCCCCCTGCAGCACATGCCCTGTTTTGGCCAGCAAAGTGGTTCAGGAGACTGTCCAGCCGAAAATGGGCTATGAGGGGCCACATGTGGGGCCTCCATGTCCCATTTTTGCTGGCAAAGTGCTGCAGGAGGCAGTCCAGGCAGAAAATCCAGCCCACAGGTCTTGAGTTTGACACCCCTGATCTATACTAAACAAAAGAAGCAGTAACAGAGCATTGCCTTGGTTGTTACTTAAATCCCAATATGGAACCAAGTCTAGGATTGAAATTAGCCATTGTGTCTTTCTTTCTTGATCATGCTCACGTCTTTCTCTCCAAGGACAAGAAATAAAGCCTATCATATGCATATGCTCTTTCCATCTTACAACTACTGAAAAATGGCAAATCTAGAAAAAGTATATTTAATAAGTTTGAGCTGAAAGCTATATGGCTGAAAGCTGAATGACTATGTCTAAACTAAAGCAATGTTACTCAAAGTATCATTCTTAATCCTTTATGTGTTTTAAGGAAGACTGATAAAAACCACTGATCCACTTTTCCTGAAAAAAAATATTCATGGGCCAATCAAATATCAAATATAATTTCAATATGTTGAAAGTAATCCAGAATCTGACAGATATACCCCCGTTCCTTCTACAGTTTTCTGTTGTTCTCTTTTGACTTTTAATGACTATGTTTGGTTTTGTTTTTTATCTGAATCATTTTACAATTGATTGAAAGTGTTTTTTGTGATGAATATATTCTGTTTTATTCTCATCAGAAGATTTCTTGATCATCTATCATTATTAACATTGCAGTTCAAGTCTCACTGGCTCAAGGTTGAAAATTGACTCAGCCTTCCATCCTTCTGAGGTTGGTAAAATGAGGACCCAGATTGTTGGAGACCTCTTAGAGAGGCTGTAAAGCACTCTAAGTGCTCTTGCTAACTATATTAAAGATTTTTTTTTTAAAAAAAAGTCAGATAAAAACATATTTTTAAATAGCTAAATGTATATATATTTAAAAAAAATATTGATTATGCTTTTCCATAGCTCATTATGGAATTTTATGAATTTCTTATATGAATTTGAATTTACACTGATTTCTTTCCAATAACATCTATATCAAAATGAAAACATTACATGCTTTTAATCTGTATGCTCACCATTTGAATTTAAAACCAGAATAAAGGAATAGGCATCAGATCAAATGTAGGGTGCTTTGTATCTGTAGTAGAAGATGTTTAACAACCTATTTTAAGCATCTAGAGATTACATAGTTTACAAATTTCATCCAAACATGGAGTCTGTTTCAAATCTCCTGTAAATGTATAAACTCAGTAATACCTGTTACAGCTAAAAGAGCCCCAAAGATTTTAATCAAAGCCAGGACAAAAGAGATTCCAAAATAGCCAGTCAAGGAGAATAAGAATGCATAGCCGTATGTTTGAACTGGGCGCTGCAAAAACAATAATAACATTTTTAGTAAAATGCTAAATAAACCCTGAGGTATTGCAAAATGAAATAAATGTCTTTAATATGCTGCCTGAACTAAAGTAAAAGTGCTTAAAGCTTTCAAAGTTTGTATTTAATTTTTGATGAATAATGGATAAAGCAATAATTAAATTATAAACATTCCTTGACATTTCAAAGAATACAAAGTAATTCTGATGAGGATGATTACATATAAGAGTTTCAAGCTTTGTTGTATTACTGTACAATGCTAAATGTGTCTACCGAGGAATAATTCCCAGTTCGGTTGAAGGGGATTATCTTTCAGCCTTAATGAATAATACAATTTATTTTTCTTATTTTATATATATATATACACACACACACACACACACACACACACACACACACTTACATACATACACAGCACAATGGAAAAAAATATTAAACAGTTCATCCAATAAGTACTCCAACACCACATAAATGTGAAGTGTACATTTACCAATAATAAAAATTGTAATACAATCAACACATTTACCTTTGAACAAAATGTTACTGCAGGAGTTAGGCCAGCAGTGCATGTCAATCCCACTAGAATGTATAGGAAACCTATTGAATAGGAATACAAAACCTGGAATAATTACAAAAACAAATTATTTAAATTTCTGTTGTTTCAAATATGCCACAAATTTGCTCTGTGGATCTGCAAACATTCCCTTTAGGTAGTACAATATTTTTTACTCATTTTTCAAACTGGATGACAGCAAATTCTAGCACAATTAGGCTGGATGTTTCTGAATAATTTAAACTACACAGTATTTTAAGTGATCTGCATTTTACATAACTAAGATATACTTTGGCAGTCAGCAAATGAGATGAATCAATATTTAGTTGATCTGAAAAAAGTGGGCCCTGCACTTGTGGGAAAAATGCTAGGAAGTAAAAAATAGACATGTATTATATTAATTTTCAAAAATTGAAATGTTTTGGTACTAGATAAATTTTTCCGGTTTGCTTCTGAAAAAGATTGAATCATTTCTTTTCAAAGGATTTACATTTTATCCCAAAATTTCCGCTACAACAGAAGACTTGCTATATCCCAAGATGCTAAATGCAAAAAGTAGCACTGAGGCATTTCATCCTTTACTGTATTATATTATATTCAGGTGCATTGGCTGCCATTTTTCTCCTAAGACAACTAAATTGTGAACATGTGTTATCTGAATCAGGCAAGAAGTCCAGGAACAAAAGTTTGAACTATGGACATTTGGTGGATAATACAATTTGGCTTTCACTACAGTATACCGGTAAAGAACTGTGATCTGTAAGCATTGCTATACACAGTACATTAAGGGAAATCAAAGGGTCATTATATCTTTACTACTACCTTAATCAATGTTTACTGTTTTTGGTAGTATATTAATAAAATGCACTATTCTCTCCTATTCAAACTTATTTCTTACAAAATATGCCATTTTACAAAAAAAGGAAGTGTATCACTATAGCCACAATATTGAAGGGCACATTGTTTTCACTCCAGAGACAGAACATCAGAAAACTAATAGGTACACCTGACTAAATACATTAAAAAAAACACCCGACATTACTGAATATCTAATATTCATTAAAATATTAAGTTCAAACATTTTATGTGAAAGATTAATGTTAATGTGAATTTAGTGGTAAGCCATAAATGGTTGAGAAACTGAATTAGAATTTTGTACAAAAGTTATTTTTAACTAGCTTGATCGTATTTTGAACAGACAGATCTAGTTCCATAATTTGGATTTATCAGTGATCAAAAGGTCCAATAAAAGGTACTGAAACTAAGTTGTGCTAATGTGATCAGTGGACCTTATGCTTCAGTACTATTTACAAATAAACATTTAACACTACAATCTTGCTAATTATAATTATTAGTGACTATTGTCAATGATTAAACATCTTGAGAGATCTTGAATGTTTAAAACAGGTTCTTTTTTTCTGTTTAGATTTAGATTTCTGTTTAGATTCTGTTTCAGATTTAAAAGAAAACAGATTTAAAAATAGCACTCTGATATATCAATCTATGTCAGCTATTGAGAGCTATTGCTACATTTAATGTAGTAAATGTTAAAAACTCTGTAGTGGCAGCCTTCTTTCTAACTGGAGGATAGTAAAAAGAGGCTAATGAATGCATATCATATTATCAATATACATAATCTGTCTGGATTAGCTTAATGTTTGAAAAGCTATCTGATGCATTTTTAAGAAAAAGATTTTAAAATCTTCTAAGAAAAGATTATTTTATTATTCTTTTAGATCAGAGCAACAGAATATAAATCATATAACTAGCAATATCCCGCCTAATTCTGAATTTTTAAGAACATGATTTCAAACAAAAGACTTACAGTTCAACCCTATATTTTTCAATCAATTAAATGACATTACAAAAAAATATATGAGGATTTACCATTTCAGAATTTGAGCCACTATGCAACTTCATTGCTTTTTCCTGCACGTTTCCTATAACGGCATCTGCGCAGAGGGCAAGGGATATAAGGACCACTCCTTCAAATAACCAGAAAAATAAAAACAAGTATAAGAAAAATATATTTAAAGAATAGACATACACAACATTACAATGTTAAAAATATATATATATATTTATGAAAATGTATAGAATATAAAAAATTTGTAATAATAAGCAAATCTGACATTTCAATCACATAGATCAATATTCATTTGTCAGAAATATATAGCATTTACACACTTTCTTCTTGGTTGTGTGGGAGGAAGAAGAAAATTAAACTAAGACTGAAAGATTTCGAAGTAGCTAATTATGAATTGGTTGGAGACCTAGCAAAAACTTCAAAGAAAAATAGTAAATTCGTTTTTGTTTAGCGTGAAATTGTGATATTTCAGTTTTTTCTTTGTAATAAATTCATAGACATTTCAAAAATTCTTTTTTCACTTTGTCATTATGGGATACTGAGCGTAGATTAATGAGAATTTTTCCCCACAACTGTAGAATCAGGCTGCAGCATAACAAAACTGACAAAATTGAAGGGGGTCTGAATACTTTCTGAATGCATGTAAATGTTTAAATCCAATACCGAGTTAATGAAACAGGATATGATATCCAAAATTTAATATTTAAATTGTGTGTAGTTCAGGCTTTCCAATTATGCCCTCAATTTTAAAGTGACACTGTTGTATGATGCAGGTAGATGTGTGTGTGTGTGTGCTACCTGGAATATTTCCTGGGTCAAAATCAAGATAACTGGATTTCAATAACTAAGTGTCTCTATTTTGTGTAACTTTCCACGTCCCTACAGAAATTCAAGCAGAAGAGTCTGAATTCAACAAGTCAATGGTGTCACTTTATCTATATGTTCACTTATGTAAACATCATGTATTTTCAAGTTTAAAAAAGAATAAAGTTCCAAAACATAAAAGTTACCTGTCAAATTGAAATTTGGTGCAACTGTGCTATCAGCTAGAGTAAACCATATTAAGCCCAAGCTCATACATACTGCAGCAGAAACATCTACAATGTTGTAACGTTTCCCTGTATTGTTAAAAAAAGGGGGGTGGGAGGAGAAGAAGAAATGTTGATACTATCTCAGTCAGACTACTTTTAGCCCATTCATGATGCTATATTATCAATATTCTTCTTTTTATGTGGGCTATTTTCACACTGCACAATATTGCCTCCCTCCCTCTACATACATACACACATACATGCATACAGTGCAGTAGTTATCAATGAGAGAGCCATATATTATACTTACACAGTAAAAAGAACAGTGAATTTTGTGGCATTTAAAAACACATTCATTTATTATCATATACATTTTCAAAATCTTTTGCAGTAATATGGTATATATATATATATATATTATGACAAGAACACTTGTTTTGCAAATTGGTATAGCTCTCTTCTGGCACCTTACTGTTACCTTTTCTTTCCATACTGTTTTGTTATTACATATATTTATCTATACTGATGTGAGAAGGAGCAAAGCTGAAGCACTCACTGTATCATTAAAGTAACTCGTGAAGCACTCCTTTTTTTGTCAACATCCTGACACAATATCACAACAGAGGGCTTATGTGCATTTTCTGCCTGGCTTATACTGCCATTTACACACCATTTACACCCTTCTATCATAAGCATGCTTAAAATGGTACTCAGGAATCTACAGGTTCGCACCTATTCGCTAGAACCGGTTTTTAACATTCTGAGCAGTTCTGGCCTAATCCTGTAAGGAAGGCAGGAAGGAAACATCCTGGTGTTGCTTAAAGAAACTGCCTCTCCATTAACTCTTATTACATTCTTGGCAGGACTAGACTTCCTGTCTCTGGAACTTCTCTGGAGTTTTTTCCCCCCTCCTTTGCTGGTACTTTGCTTGTGTGGAGTGACCATTCAAAGTTACAATAGCACTGAAAAAAATGACTTATGACCATTTTTCACACTTATTACTGTTGTAGCATCCCCAGTCATGAGAGGCCAGGCGAGGAGATGTGTGCCTCGATGTGAGTGGTGTTGAGTTGACCACACCCAGCCAGTCACATGACCACCAAGCCACGCCCACCAAAATTTGAATCCCACCGCTGGGTACATTTCATCACATTTTGATCTGTTTTATGTATCTGAAAAACACATTAAGTCTGAAATTTGCAATTTAAGTAGTAAAAAAGATTTCAGACTTCAAATCATTTTAACATTTTACTTCAGATTTAATTGTTATCACTTAATTCACCTATTACTGTTCCATGGTTAATCCAGCTAAATAACTTTACTGCAAATTTCAGAAGCAGAAATAGCTGCTTAAAAACATTTTAAGAATGGAGTTCAAAGGAAGTTTTTGCAATTTTCCACAGATAAAAAGTTCCACAAAAATACATCAGCTTTCTTTCTATATGTTATTATAGTAAAGAAAAAAGGGAACAAAACTATACTTGATGGATTTTATCAATAGGAGATATTATTCTTTTGTGCTTGTCTCAAATGATTCATAAACGTTCTACTTTGTCCTCCTCATAGTTATAATCAATCAACTATATAATTATCACTGAAGTGGCTCATAAGTGGCACGATCAACAAGTACACAAAAGGGCTAGGAACTTAATGATGTGCTCTGAGATTATTGAAGAAGAGAAAGAACATGCTTTTCTTGTATTTCACAACATACTTTGGATGTTCATATATGTAGGAGTGATGGGATTTTAAATTAACTTAAAGCACTTAACAAATTATTTGTACTTTACATATATTCTCTCCATATTTTGGGCAGGCTAAAGCAAGTAAGATATTCTTATAAGGCAGTTTCAAATAGCTTATCAATCATATCTTTATGAATTTATCTTAACAGCCTAAGACAGCAGAAAATAGTTTGCAATTCTTGCTAGTAATAGTGTGCAAGATATATAAAAGTTCCTTGGTGAACCTAAGTGGATTTGAGGCGTTTCTGATTTTATTTTCATGCATAATTTCTATTGGCCTAAATTGAAGTCTTCTTGATTTTTTTATGGAGGATGGGGCGGGGGGGGGGGGGGGGGAGGCAGGAAAAACCAATACTGGGTCTTTACAAGGTTATTTTTCTGAAATGAATAGCAATGAATAGCAAGAATAAGCCATACCTTGTATAAAGACTCCTCCTATCATAACTGGGATCAGTTTACAGCACTTGAAGATTACTTGTGTAGGATAATTCAGATATCCCAAGGAGGTATTTGATAAACCCATAGTCCCCACTGTTAGAAAAGCTATTATCATGTAGGTTTTGCCTGGGATCCTGGAAAATATAAATGAAGCTCTAATGTTGGGAACAAATGGCAACACTATAGAGAGGTTTAATTACTTTGGTAAGTAAAAATTATTAAGGAAGTTGGTGGCTTTTTCTGCAAAGCTTGATATATATAAATGCTGAAATCTGAATTTGATTAAACATAAGTCAGAATATGTTTAACTTTTCAAGGCAAAGCCTCTGTTTTATTATTACAATTTCAATAATTTTTTTTCTTTTTGTAAAAGAACTTGTATAGCCTTTATGCTTTGTCCCTCACTAACATAGTGAAAGGAAAGAATGTGGTCTCAATAGCAATGATTGTCCCATTTCTAAATTAATCAATAGGATAATTCTTAAACAATTGTGCTGACAATTTCACCCTTTGATTTCCCATAAAACTGTCTTGATATAAAATCTGTCTCATGAATTCCGCAGCTACTTTGAGGGCATTTCATTGATAAAAATATGGAATAAAAGTCCAGTGGCTGAGCAGACATGCTTTCTTTTGCAGTTCTTCACGTTCACATATAGAATGAATACAGGTAGTCCTTGACTTGTAGCCAGAGAATTAGTCATAAATTGTAACAGTCATAAATTGAGACGCCCACATGGCCGGAAATAATACCCTGGCCTTTTCTGTGGCAGTCATTACGTGACCATCACTATTGTTAAGCAAATGCTGTGGTTGTTAAGTAAAACCATAAGTAAAACCACTCAATTGAATGGGCATTTTTTGCTGGAAACTGCCAAAAAGCCACTGTGAATCGCAATCACATGACTGCAGTACACTGTGATGGGTTATAAAGCTTATTACATGGGGAGCACCATTTATGATGGCCGGCGTGTTCAACAGTTGTAAAATGGTTGTTTAGCGAGGATTACTTGTAAGCTATAGTCTAGAAAGAGGTTGCTCTACTAGTCTACTTGATGCACGGAAGCCACACAGTTCACCGGGTTCCAGATTTTAAGAAGCATTTTCACTGTATGCTAAGCCAATTAAAAAATTCTTTTGAAAGTTCTAAAGTTATCTTATTTTATATGTTTTATGTGTAGAAACACTCTATTTAAGCCAACAAAATACAGCTTTCCTTTTATTTGTAGATTAAATGGGAAAGTTATGCGTGCTGCTGAAAAAAAACATTTTATTAACTGTACTTTTGAACTAATTGGTATGGGGATACAAAAATTGCATTTATATATATAAGTATTTTCCATTTTAAAATGGAGTGGGGGAAAATTTACATTTAAAAGTCACTCATGTTCTGAAAACTCATCAGTTCCAGACAGTTTCATAAATTAATATGTAGTTTTCTGAAGAGTATTGTCCTGACTTGTCTCCCTAGTTTTCTTTATTTTACAAACTGGAGCTAAATTTTTGTATAAATTTTGTCCACTTTGTAAAACTACATATAAGGATCAAGCTTTGAAGAATCGAATTTTAAGGCTCTAAAAATAAACCTCATACCTTCTCCTCTTGTCTTGAATAAGCTGTAGTTCTATAAGTCCAAAAATGGAATAAAACCCAAATTGTACTAATGTAAGATACCAGCCAAAAGATTTAAAGCCTTCTACTGAAAATATCAATTCCTAGAGAGAAAGGAGACAGAAACTTATTGCAAAATATGATATGTAGTCATATTATATGAGTTGTAATATTAGCTTTCAATTTAATTTGGGATGACATTTTTTATATTGTTTGCTTTCTTTATCAGGTCTAATCAATGGCATTGTTACATCAATAGCTATGTAGAACTGATTAACTTTCAAATGACTTTGGATTAATGTACTTAATAGTTGAACATCACCAATATGTATAACACAAGTATTAATATTAGTATAAATAGAAGACATATTTTTAAAAAATGCCCCCCCCATATGTCCCCTTTAGCTATTATATATATCAACCAATTACCTTTTGAAACCATTTGCCTTCTCACATTATAATGAAGTGGTTTGTTGATCTCTGATTTAGGATGATGCACAAATGAATCAGTGAATGAACCATGGTTTATTTTAGAGAAATAAACTCATGTTTCATCAGCTACTGATTGCACATCATGCTGAATCCCAGTTGCAGTTAGTAGTCACTTGACTTGCTTCCCATACTAGCCCTGAGCCAGCTACAAGTGCAAGGCACAAATGATTCCAAAAGCAAGCAAAACTTGGGAATGTTGCTTACATGAAAGGTTAATTGTAGCCAAGTTTGTACACTGTGCTATTTTTGTTCAAACTCACTCATTATGATTTAGCATAATATAGAAAGCAAGCCGTTGTTGCATATCCAACAAAAAATTAAAGAACCCTGCTTTAGTATTATTCAGAACAGCTGCATTTTATTGCTGTTTTATTTCCAAAACTTTTGCATAATATTTGCTGATTTTACTGCAGCTGCACATTCATTTCACTGAGCTGCTCACATCTAGTTCAAACTTCATAAATGACTATGTGAAACTGGAATAAATTGCTCCAATGCGTACTATATAACTTTCATAAAATGCTCAATATGCATTTTGTTGCTGGTTCATCCAAATACAAAGCCATTTCTATTGAAATTTAAATTCCAAATGATGGTATTTTTTTTAGTGCAGAAGATGGAAATTAATCCACAGAATGGAGATTGAAGTCCTTCTCTTGCATCAATATTGCTGCTGGCAATATGGAATTTAGTCACTGTCATGTTCATCAGGACTGAAGTCTTAAAATTATATGTGTCTTCTTTGAGAAATATGATTCAATCAAATGCCTAAATACAATATTGGGGTACTTGGCTGAGATGCAGTATATGCAGGAAGGGTCTCAGGCATAACTGGTAACAAACTGGTGTTAATTACCACTGCAAAGGATTACTTAGTATGAGTAGGCATGGTTCTGCAGCAGTTAAACAGATCTAAGAAATCTTGGGTTATACCACAAAAACCTTATGTTCATATAACAGGAGATAAAATTCCATTGTACTCTGCAATAGTTAGACAGCACTTGGAAAATTGCCTTATAGATAAAGACATAGTGAGTCTAGATTTCATTCAAAAGAACAAGAGTCTAGAAACCAAGCCTTACAAAGAATGGTTAAAAATATTTGAGTTTACAAAAGTTAAAGCTAAAATAGACACATCTCTAAAATGCGCAAGAGTGGGCCAGAAATGAGGGCAGGACAAGGACTAATGATTGAAATGAAAAGAAAAGTGATTTAGACTCAAGCTTAGAAGGAATTTTCTGACAGGAATGTGCGCTAACCAATGGAACAGTATTCTCAGAATAGTGGTACACTCCTTGGTGGTGGTTTTCAAATGGGAACGGTATGTGTGACCACTCAGGGATCATTTAGTCACTCAGTAAAATTCTTGAATCATATACTCTTTCATTATTCTCTTTATATGGTATCTCAGACTACTTTTATCCATTGATTCTGAAGAAATTCCCTGGCAGAAACCATAACTTACATTTGTTGTTTCTACTATCTGTCCATTATTCAGATATATTTTTCTGGTTTGCCCTATTTTGCACTTATACGTGGACAATCTGTCTTTTCTCTTATGTGAAAAATTGTATGAATGGGACTAGATAACCCAAAGATCCCATTCAAAACATATACTATGACTACATACATTATGAAGTGAACATACATTATGATTGCATGTTCACTTCAAATTGACACTTCTGCTTTCAGATGACAACTCCCCTGAATACTATTTCATTAAAAAAAAATCACAACAGTTAGATACTAGCAAAGCAGGGAGAAAACTTAAAGCCCTTTTTTTCTTGACATCTAGTTTTGTTTTTGTAAAAAAAACTTTCTCACTGCATGTTTATAGGATCCATAACTGCATAGCCTGAAGTTTCACCTCAGAACAAATAATGCTTTTACTAAATCTAAATGTTAGTTTTATGATAACTCCACAATTTTCAAGGTGCCATATGGATTATATAATAAATTACATTTCAGAAAAATAATATAACTAATGAAAATTTGTATTTGCAAAACATGTATCTTCCAGGTTTATATTTTAGATATTCAAGTATATTATTAAATATGTAATAATTCTTTAGATTACCATAACATTTAAATTCTTGCTAATTCCCTAATAATTTATTTACCTTAATGTTCAGTTGAATTTCTAATACTAATTATACTAATGTCTACCTAAAATTTTTCAATGGATTCTGAACCTTGCAAAACTTTTAAGAAAGCCCATTAATGAGTGGGCATTCCCACTTTTCTTCAAATGTGCAAATACCTATTTATCTTGATAAGAATAGATTTTTTTTCTTATTTTAAAAAGCTTGTAGCTGCATCAAAATTTCTATAAGCCACAAAAATTGTTTTCTGGCAATTCTAGCAACACACAAAGAATGAGAATACATACCTGCAAATATCCATAAATGAGAAAAAACAGGAAGACTCCCAAAACACAAATAAAAAACTGCGTAGGTTTGTTAAATTTGCTGAGATTAATTCCGAGGACAATTATATCATCTACTGATTTGATGTGTGGTGACATGGCTTGGGATTTTGATGGTATGCTGATAGAAACATATTTCCGAGAGGAATTGAATTTCATATCCATGTTTCCTAGTCTTCTGCATTCGGTAGTTAAAAGTCGTGTTTGGTTGCAAGCTGAAACAAATAAGGTTAAATTTAATCATAGCAGAGTTAAGGGAGCACCTTATGTATTCATTATGACATTTAGTTGTAATTTGTTTCACTCAGACTCTCTTGAGGCGATTTTAAAAAATTCAGTAGTTATGTAAATTGTTTTTTGTATACATTTTATTAGAGAAAATAAAAACTAACACAAACTAATACAGCATGAAGAAAAAAGAAATAAAAAAGACAAAAGGAAAATGACAAAAAATGCACAAAGCTTAAAAATAAATAGAATGAAGAAGCTTCCGATTAGGTTAAATTTTATGGTTTTGAGCAGAGTTTGAGATAAAATTATCTACTTATGATGATCATGGTATTGCTGAATTGTGTAAAAAGTTGTTGATATAAGAGAGAAGAACAAAAATGAAAGAATGCAGGATTAAAATGGGGTAAACACTTTGGTTATAATAGACAAATGGTTCAATGGCAAAATATATGGTTGAAAGGATTAAAATTCACTTTATGTTCCAGAGTAGACCTAAGGAGAATTTTTATAAAATGATGTTTTGTTGGCATAGATTACCAGAGAAATTATTTAGAATATATAAATGTACTCTGAAAATTGGCTGAAAATGTGAAAAACGTGTAGAAACATATGTTTAACAGACATGCAAAAAGCTAAAAAAAATGGATACAAACATACATTAATCCAGAAGATTTTAAAAGTGAAAGTATAACAAAGAAACTTTTGGGAGGGGAGAAAAACTAATGGATAGATAACTAGAAAAAAATATTATTATACGTAACTGCAGTAAGAGTATTCTATGTTCAAAAATGGAAAGGTTCAACATTACCCACAACAGAGGAATGGCTGGTGAAGATGAGGGAACTTGCAGAACTCTTTGATTAAAGAAAAAAACATCTGTTTTAGTGGCTGACTAGAAATCCCTTATACTTTTTGCATGATATAGAAAAAAATGCACACATAATTTGTGGTTTTGATTAGAAAAAAATTGGAGAATAGAAAATAACGAGGTATTTTTTTGTAATTTTATAGAAGGAAGCAATATTGTAATTATACTTTTATTTGCTGGGGAAGAAATAAGAAGCATATCTATTTTTATTCTTTTCTGCATTTATTTAATAAATATTAAGTATATTTATTAGATATAATAAAAATTAAATACTAAATTCATTTAATATATTTATTTTTCACATTCTGAACCATCCATCTTCCTCAGAGAAGGACTCTCTCTTTCTTTTTTTCTTTCTTTTCCTTCCTTCCTTTGCTTTCTTATCTTTTATTAGTTTTCATTAGTTTTTCTCTTATGTGTAAAACTTTTAATAAAATTGAATTATTTTAAAAAGTAAAACTTATTGTGTGGTATGAAAGGCAAAAATAGGCAACCTTCAGTGTAAAATAGGCAACCTTTTGGTAACCAAAATATAGATTATTTGGGGTGGGGGAAGGGGAAAAGTGCTACACATGGCAGGACAGTACAAAGTGGGTGAATTATATATCTTTGGGATTTTGGGGGGGCTTTGGGCAGGGTAACTTTAAGCCAGATTAAATTTATTTCAAGTCTTATATTGGGGGCCAGCAGCACAACACATCTGGCATTTCTAGTCAAAATCTTGTGAGATATGAACTACGAACAAGAGGTTTGAGGTGCACTGCTGAAATATTATCAGATGTGACATTTTAGCCACTTTTCATGATTCCTATCTTATACTATATTTTTAAATTATAATTCAATATTTTTTATGTATTTCCTATCTAATTTTAGTTGTAGCCAAAGGAGTTTGAGAAATTACATGAAAGTTGCTCAAGAACTGTAGATTGTCTATCCCAAGTTAGAATGTGTGAACAAGGTCTCCTATGCTATGGATATAAATTATCTCCAATTAATCATAATATCCTCATTTTTTAAATCTAAAATTGAATACATAATTCAGTCTAATTTACCAAAGAGATATTTAAGTATTACTGTATATTATGCCTCTGGGAAACTGATTTGCAAGTGTTTGATTGCTCTCAAGGCAAAAGAGATAAATAAGATATACTATGCAAATGAAACAAAACAATAACAATTACTAAAATACCTAACTACACATCAATCAAACACAATTTCAAACCTTTGACATGGAATTGATAACTTAATTCCCTGCCACCTCTTATTTCCCTCACTTGTTCTTTCAGGCAAAATATATTTTTTAGCCAAAAGCTGCCTAAAAAGGTTTCTATTAGCAATTCAGTTAACTGGGTGCTAGGAAATAATTTATATTTGCCTGGATATAATAGCAAATATTTGTTTAGTTTGTTAGCAAGTTTCTACTATGGTATCAACTTCTGTTAACAGGCTATATTTGTTAGCATACATTTACCAAAGGAAAGTTTTCCTTAATAAATAGTCATTCTTCTAAATTTAAATATGTAATTATATGTATCAGTCAACTGCTATTGCCAATTAAAGGAAGAACATTATTTTGCAACTCTGTGTCGTAACAGGATTCCTACTTCTTTTCTTAGCAACAGAACAGAATTTACAGGTAATTTCCAGATGCTACAACTTTGAGCAGTCCCAGCATCTAATGATGATGAATCCTGGAAGCCTCTTTGTCCACAGCAGGGGTGTGTGTGACAAGTAGAAAAGTGTGATATTTCTCTTTAATCAAACCTGAGTTCAAATCATAGCTACATAGATTTAAATCCAGATTTGCAATTGGACAAGGAGAAGGATAAGCACGTAACCAGTTTTTTCTTAAAGTGAAAGGTAGAATGTAAAAATCTTGTCACTAGTTTTATATCTACTGGATTTTTAATAAATTCAAAATGCACATTCTAAACCACAAATAAAAATAGATGCACTAAGCCTAACTGCAATTTCAAATTTATTAATTCAATTATCTTTATCCTCTATTTGTCTATCAACATACACTTGTATATGAGTACTTACAGTTGAATATGCACTTAACATATTTTTTAAAAATAATTCAACAAATTGCAATCCTAAATTTAATGTCTTGGAAAAACTTCTTACATAACTCAATTAAGCTTACTTCCTAACAAATGCAGCAAGGATTGAACCACTGAAAGTTACTTAAATTGTTTTTCAAAATACTGTTTCAAACCTTCTTTTGTACTAATGATATATGGATTTCTTGTCTTTAAAAACCATGGGAAAAACAAAAACTGAACAGATGAGTCAGCATTCATAACAAATCAGATAATGTAATAATGTAACAATGACAAGTGTTATGATGTCAAATAATAATTATATAACTTCACCATGATATTTGACCCTACTATATAAGTCGTGATATTATTTGACATTCCCCTCTCCAACACTTATGAAGTGATCTTTTTCTGAACAATGTTATGTAAAATAGAATTTGTTTTTTGGGCCATAAGATTAAAAGACACATGAAAATCTAGATTAGCCTATTTTAATCATAACTTTTATTTCCCATCTTTCGCCTACAAAAACTTATGGCAACCAAAACTAAATGCAAGCAAATTGGAAATTCAAATGAAAACAAATGAATATATATTACATTTAAATTTCTTGGGATGTTTATATCTTATCAATTTACAGGTTGTTTGGAGAGAGAATATATGTTGTTTATTACTGTCCTAAAAGTTTACCAATATAGAAAAGACAAACTTTTGATAAAAGAGATTGCCTTTAAAATTTGTTGTGTGTCAAATATGTCTGCAACAGGTAGTGTGATGATGAGAATGGAACATTTCTTTGAAGATTAAGCACCTACATAAAGAACTGGACTAAAATGGAAATACAATTCTGTTACTGTTTATTGTTTCATTTATTTTATTAACAACATTGCTGTTCTAATTCTAACTTATTTTGCACACTATCTAGAGCAGTGATGGCTAACCTTTTCGTCATCACATGCCGAAAGTGCGTGCATGCACCTGCACCCATAATGCAATGCGTGCAGGTCCCCCCCACCTCCCTGCACATGCACGCGTGACCCCGTGCGCCCTGCTCCCTGCGCATGTGCAAGCATCTCCCCCGCACATGCATGGCAGATATCCAATAATCAGCTGGCTGGGATTCATGCGCAGTGGATCTGTTACGGGTGACGGCTTGCATGCTGGCTGAAATGGCTCTGAGTGCCACTTCCGGCACTCATGCTGTAGGTTCACCATCACGGGTCTAGAGCTTATGGAGTAAGGCTGTTTATCTTAGAACTTTTATAAATAAATAAAGACTACATTAAGCTTGTTTTAGGATCTTCTTTACAATCTCTGAATGTTTGTCATTTCAAAAAGGTAAATGTTTTGAGAGTTCCTAAAAGGTGAAGGGAGATGTGTCCCTCCTCCCGTGAAAAACCTGGCTGTGAAAAACTGAAATAGGAGAATATGAGTGGAGAACAAATAATAATGTTTAATCAGAGCTTCTGAAAGATCATGTCTTATATCAGTAAAGTAAATCAAAGTAGTCATGAGCACACCAGAACACTTATGCCTGTTCACTGACAAAAGGTGAGGCAACTATTCATGCCACTTTCCTCTCCAACTAACATCTAACAGTCTAACTTGACTTTCCTACTATACTAGTTATTGGTAGCCCTCAACTTACAACAGTTCATTTAATGACTGCTGACAGTTATAACATCACTGAAAAAAGTGATTTATGACCTTTTTTGACACTTACGACTGTTGCAGCACCTCCGTGGTCACACGCTTTAGGTTTGGATGCTGTTTTTTTAAAAAAGATTTTTATAACAAAAACAACAAATAAAACCATCTTTCAGATATATAGTGTGTTGCCTGGGTACGGGTTGGATGCTTGACAACTGGTTCAAATTTATGATGGTTGCAGCGTCCTGGGGTCATGTGATCCCCCTTTGCAACCTGCTGACAAGCAAAGTCGATGGGGAAGCCGGATTCACTTAACAACCGTGTTACTAGCTTAACAATAGCAGTGATTCACTTAACAAATGTGACAAGAAAAGTTGTAAAACGGGGCAAAAATCATTTCACACATTTCTCATTTAACAACATAAACGTTGGGCTCAATCGTGGCTGCAAGTCGAGGACGATCTGTATTTTAGGAGTTCAGTTGTAAGAGCTGCCAATAAGCAACCCTTAGTATTGTTTGCCCCACCATCCACCTTGCCAGGGGTGGCTTAAAGCAGCCCTTAACGGATAGCAGTTTTCTTCCTTCCCTTGTTTTCCAGATGCAGCGATTTTGGGAGAACACCCCCCCAAAAAAACCCCTCTTTGACTGCCCCACCTGGTAAAAGCAACGTGAGTTACAAGCTGGGCACCTGGTTGCATTCTTAAAACTAAGTGTGAAAGCTGCCTTTGATAACCCCTTCCATCCTCTGTCAGTTGAAATGGTGGGACCACCTTCACAACGGTGTAGGGTCTCCTGCTTGGGCGGGGTGGGGGCTAGGTGGGGTTGGACTAGATGACCTACAAGGTCCCTTCCAACTCTTCTGTTATTCTGTGAATGGGTTGCTGCAACGGGACGCGGGATTCGGAATGCATCAACCCAGAGAGAACAAGAGGGAAAATGAAGAGTGAATTCACGCTTCAACTCAGCTTGGACGAGCAAAGCGGGAGAAAAGGAGAAGGCAAATGCACCGTGGAAGATCTGTCATCACGGACCGGCTTAGGAGAAGAAGCCCCCTTGCCGGGCGTTGCCCAGCCTCGCCCTACTCTATCCCTCCCTATGATCGAGCCGGGGAGACGAGGCGTTAGTACCTGAGTCCGGAGAGACGGTTTGGCCACAGTCAGGAAAAGGGGAGGAGGAGGAGGGGGAGGAGGAAGAGGAGGAGGAGGAAGAAGAGGCAGCCGGGCCGAGGTGGATAGCTCCGGCCGCCGCCACCGCTACGGCTACGCTCCCCCCTCGGCCGCCCAAAATGGCGGGGAGCGCAGAGCTCATCGAACTACCCACCTCCGACGTCTGTGACTCGGCGCTTGCTCGGATTGGCCTGGGAGCTCGGAGACGGCGCTGCAAGCGCCTTTCGCTGGTTCGCTTCCTCCTTCTGCGCGACCGGAGCGGGTCGATCTTGCGGTGGCCACGAAGCGCGACCTTCTCTTTCGGGAGGCGGGGAAAGAAGTGGCAGCGGCGGCTGCAGCAGCCGGCACTGCGGGCTTCCAGGGATTGTCCCACTCGTTCATAATGCTTGTGTAACTTTTCTTCGGTATCTGTATTTATTATAGATAAGATCTGTGGAGTTCACCGGATGTACGGCGTGCTTTGCTGCCTTGATCTTCGCTTATAGGTGTCAGATAGGAAAGTCAAAATAGGTTTGATACGCTTCTGCATCTGTTTTCTTTCTGTCT